TTTTTTTTTTTTTTTTTTTTTTTTTTTTTTTTTTTTTTTTTTTTTTTTTTTTTTTTCATTATTATTATTTCACGAAAATGTACAAAATGATGCACACAACTTTTTATAATTTATGAAAAAATATATAAAAAGCCAAAGCATTGGTTGAAAATGATAAAAATGACTAAGGGCACACGCAAGTTATACACATAAGGGTATTACAGATATTTTTATAAAACTCATGGAGAATTCGACCACCCATACGCGTATTGAACAAAGTGCCTACAAAAATCAAGATTATACGAAATTTAACTGTTTCGAGGAGTGAGTAGTTCGCTGAACCACGTGCTATTGTGGAGACCCTCACTACCACATGGTCACTACTGCTCTCCGTCTTTCTCCAACCATCCGCTAGGTGTCCAACCATTGAAGTTGACTTACTCGCAAGTGCCCGGATTTCATGTTGGTTAATTTATGAGGGCGTTTAAGATTGAGCTAGGGTATCTCCACCGATATAGGTGTCTAAGGCAGGGAGAACGTTATCAGCCTGACTGATGAGTCCTGGCGTGCTCCCGGGACGAAACATCAAAATAATATTTTATCTCTCAAGTAGATAACAACATTTTCTACACTATCATGCAATTTTTTTTTTAATTCTATGGTACTGTTTTCACAGTTTCAAGTAAATAGTTTTTGCGTTTTCTCTGCTAACTAAAACAAAAAAAAACATGTAAATCAGCATGACTCGATAGTGAGTTATTAAGAATGTTTTAAAATTATGTTTTCTTATGTAAAACTATACACATATAAATTTTTATGTTGCCTGTCGGCAGGTAGAACATGCTTGAATTCAGCCTCAATTTCTCTCTATGCACCATCCCTCGACTCTGTGCATTTGTACAAAGTAGCTCCTGGATTGTAAAGTACAGGCCTTTAAGCTTACTTAAAACGCGATTTGCATTTCTTGAGGATTCGTTTTTATTATATTACAACTGTATACTTGAGTTTAGACTATTCTGTGCCACTGAAAAAATGCTGCTGTACTTATATTGTAGCTATATGCATGTAGCGTGTGGTGGCTCAGTCGGCTATAGGTCGTGGATTGGCACGCGGGAGACCGTGGTTCAATTCCCAGCCAGTGCGACTTTTTCGGGCAAGTACCTCTGTGATTTTTCACATGTGCTTTTTCACGACGCAATGCTCCTCGAGGAGGGTTTAGGCGACCTTCTAGCAGCATAATTGCTTTATTTCTCCCACCCCCTCCCAGTAATGGGAGGCCTCCCCATCCCTCAGCCCTTCCTTCTCCCAAGTGCTAAGTGCCCTCAGTAGTGCCCTTATTAAAGGAGCCGGACGTAGAGTACTATAATATAAACAAAAGCTATATGCATGGTCTGACCGTGATGGAGTTTGTGATCGTTTTGCGTTTTTGTTTTGGTTCTTATACTTCTAGTGTTTTTGATACCAACTTTTAAAAATATTTCAAAAACTAATATTCTTAGATTTTAAGTTATAGCTAGCGCTTTTCAAATGTTTTTTTTTAGAACGAAGTTTTTTATGTCGCGTACTCGGGGGGCTGGAATTTTAAAACCGACAGATTTTTTTTTTTTCAATCGGAAGTCTCTTCCTCTCAAGTTTCCCCCCTTACACTCTCCAGTTAAGAAATTTGAATCCTAGTTCTTCCGCATATTCGTCCAGTACCTTACCCACTCTGCTACGAGCGCTGCCAACTATAGAAACTCGGTTTCTTGTACTTTTCGTGTGGTTCGTAACTATGATATTCCATTTTTATATGCATTCACTAATAATACATGCAATTCATGATAAATTATGTATTTGTTTTCTAAATAATACGAGAAAAAATAAATAAATAAACATGTGGAATCGAGTTTAAGAACGTATCAATGGTTTTTAAAGGCGTTTATTTCGAATTCAACAAACAAATTATGTTACAATATCACATAATTTTATAAATAAAGTAATTCATTAAATCAATCATAAATGAATTATGTAAGATCATTATACAAATATGTTTCGAGTTTCATACCATTTTAATGGTTTTTAAGGGCACTTATTTTGAATTTGATAAACAACTTATGGCACAATGTCATTGAGTAATTATAAAAAAAATAAAACAAAAATTGTATTAATGGTCTATAAAATTGCAAAAAAATAAGTGAAAAAAAAATTTTTTTTTAAATTAATGAAATGAAATGTAAATATAACATAAAATAAAATTACAAAAGACAT